AAGCACATAAAAAACGCAAGTAGAAAAAAAGGGACCATTTTGGTGGGAAGGTAACAGCATTCCGTGCGCCTTTGGCGTTTAATCATGCCAGCCACATGACCACGGAGACGTCTTCGGACAGTGCTAGCTCTTTGGCTTTGAATCAGAGATGAACACCGCCCCCTAGAGTCAGGAACAACTAGCACATATATGCGAGGGGAACCTTTACTTTTACACAGTTTTACTGTTAATGTTGAGGGGATCTCTGTCTTGGATGTTAGGATGGGATGTTCTAGCATTGCTTCCCTGTGCAGTACACATGGTGTACAACTTCAGATGACCTCTTCTGCAGTTGAAGAGTGTTCCTTACTAGGTAAATCCATTCTGCCCTTAAGGCCCATGTCCTCAGGAAGGACAATGTCTACTAATGTAGTAGAAATTATTATAAATATATTGAACAGGTTCCTTTGCTTGGCTTGAATAAAGCTCTTCACAGGTAGTCCTTTATCATTTTTACCATTCATTCAGCAATCCTTAAAAGTCAAGACAGCTCTGAACAAGCGTACTTATGACCACTCCTTGAAGTTCCAGCAGTTGCTCCACTTCTACTGTCACATGATGTGATTTGGGAACTTGTGAAGGTTGCAGCATCCTGTGGTTAATGACCGCCATTTGCAGTCCCCCTTGTCAGTTTCACACAAGCAAAATCAATGGGGAAGCAAGCAAGAAAGTTGCAAGTAATTCCCATAGATTCTCCTGCTACTTTTTTTCTGGAAGATGCCTATTGTAGAGAATGAGATCCTAGAGACACTGTACTCCATCGTACCTCCTTATCTGCCTGCACTCCATTCGCACTCCTTCCCATAGCAGGCATCGCTTCCAGCATGCCCACTTGACTGTGACACTTACAAGCCAGCCCATACTCTTTAGTGCCCACTGGTGGTTCCCCTGCCAACCCACGCACAGTACTTGTCAATCTGCCTGTGCTTTGTAGGGCCTACCCATGGCCCCCACCAATCCACCCATGGCCAGCCCATGGCCTCTGTCAGCTTGCATTCCGTAGTCCCTGCCTGAAGCATCCCCATGCAATGTCCCATACATTACCTGGTATTCCTGCCTCTTCCCATTTAACAATCCACAAGGTCCTGGGGTTACATGGCAACTGGGATTGCTGGTACATTGTTAAGTGATGCAGTCATGTGACATCATGCTTTATGATTGCATTGCTTATTGGTGGAAATTGCAGTCCTCAATATGACTGTGATCAAAGATATTCGCTGGGACTTCATACTACAAAGCAGAACAGGACAGAATAACAAGAGTTGGAAAGGACCTTGGATGTCTTCTAGTCCAGGAAACCTTGTACCATTGCAGACAAATGGTTGTCCAATTTGTTCATAAAAACTTTCAGTGTTGGAGCATTCACAATTTCTAGAGGCAAGTTGTCCCACTGTTTTATTGTTCTAATTGTCAGGAAATTTCTCCTTAGTTCTAGGTTCTCTCCTTGATTAGTTTCCATCCATTGCTTCTTGTTCTGCCCTCAGGTNTGACTGTACGAAAATGAAAATGGAAAATAAAAACACATTTACGAGAAAAAAATATATAAAAAAATGAAAAAAAATGTAATAAAAGTCTTACCATCATTTCTCAAGATTAAAGGCGTAGGAGGCCCTCGCACTCTGGTATTTGTTACTGTGTTTGTCACGACACATGTATAATTTCCCACATCCGATTTCTCTACTTTAGCTATGTATAAATTCCCAGTCTCTTGCGAAACAAAGCGACGATTATCCTGGTGCACAAAAGTTGGATATTCATTGAAAATCCAGGCATAGATTAATTCTGAAAATAAAGCAATAATAACTATTAATAATATTATGGAATATACTCGTGGAAAGCAGAAGATTAAGTCATAAAAGAAGCAGAAATCAACTCTCTCTTTCTAGACATGCACACAGACCTTTCAAACTGTAAACTTGAGAAGAGGGGTTGCATTTTTATTAATTTGAAGCCACTCTGATTTTCACACACCAACTCTGGTTTTTAGCCTAACAAAGTAAACTTATGCATTTATACAACTCTGGTGGAATCATTCAGCAAAATAAGCATGTGCTTAGAACAACAATGCAAGGGAGGGGCATCCCAGAGTCTCCCCCCCCCCGCCCAGTTATCATGCTCTTAACTCTTTCACTTACATGCTCAATTTTATATGACTTTTTTTGAATCCTAATCTGCTGTGTTAAACTTTAATCTGAATTTTTTAAAAACAAATTTCTTTGGCCTGGTGAGTGACTCCAGTTTAAAACATTTGTTTCAAAGTGTTGTCAGATATCACATTTGTTTCCATCTCGTGGTATGCGAGTTTTGTTTCCATTGTTCATTTGTATTCTGACCCTACGTGTATATAAAGGCAAATAAAGGAGAACAAATGTGTGGAGAACTCTAAAACCTGGGCAATACCTCAGCATCACATTCCAATTTTTTTTTTCTTTTTTGGAAGAGACAGACAGGAACTCTTGATTGCTAGCTGCCTAATATATGAATCAGAAATCAGTGCATGGTTACAGAACGTAAACAGAGCCACAAGTTCCCTAAAACTAGCTATCTGAAAATGTTTACTAGCTAGGCCAGAAGAGATTATACAATAGAAAGCTCAGGACTAAACCGGGGAGTCCTTGGTGCTCTCTGAGCTTGACTGTTTGCTTACAGATGTTTCGTTACCCAACTAGATAACATCATCAGTGTGAATGAGTGTGGGTTTTGCCCCCTGTTTATATATAGTAGCTTGCCAAGAACTACTAAGAAGAAAACCATACCCCCACCATCTGGCAGGACAAGATATTGTAAATAAACAATGAACAAAGCTCATACTCAGTGATGATATTATCTAGTTGGGTAATATAATATTTGCAAGCAAACACCAAGCTCAAAGAGCACTGAAGATTCCACTCTATATATCATTTAGAAATTTGAAGCATTTACAGTAAATATAAAAAGTTTAACTCTCCACCTGATTGCAACTCATCATGCTGGATTTAAGAACAAATCATATATATTTATTTTCTCTTTGATTTGCCTAATAGTTTGCTTCTAAAGTTAGGACTTCATATATCCTGAAGATTAGGAGAAAAATGTATATTAAATGAAGTATACAAGGGCATTATGACTAATTCAACAATATTCCCAATTTATACTTTATCTTTGGAATGTATGCAAGAACAGGGACATTCATTGCAAGCAACTTCCAGCACTTAGGTTTCACTATAATCTTGTTATATTAATGCAAGACTATTACCCTAAATATCTTCAGAAGACTATTAAAAGAATTAGAGAACCATCTGTTGCAGCTTTATTTTAATTCCTTTTAATGAACCATCATTGTAATTGACCTCCACTATTGTAATACTTTTTAAGATACAAGGGCTCAATCCACCAAACAGATTTGCCCCCTCGCAATAATTATGTCACTTTCAGCTTACATGAACACATTGTATTCAAATATTTACTAACAAAAGATGATACTGTTATACTTTAATAATCACTCCCCAATGGAAACCATATTTACTAGCTTTTAGATTTAAATTTAGATTTAGATTTAGTTTATTTGTATGCCGCCCTTTTCCGGGAGGGACTCAGGGCGGCGAACAACTCAAGGGGAAAAGGGGATACAAACACAATACACGTAATTAAAATACACAAGAGTCATTAGGCTTAACTGGGGGTTGGACCTGA